CATTTACAGACAAATTCCTATGTTGAGAATGAGTGTTTAAAACCCCAAATATATTTTGGAAGTTTTTTTTTTAGTCCATATCAACATTGTACAAACACTAGAATTGAAGTCTGCAGGCGTCAAACGTTAAAAATCTTCAAACAATTTCTGAATAACCAGGATGCCTTAAGTGGTCATACATGATAAGTAGCATGCTTAAAAAGAGTGTTTTAAAGCTTCAATAAATAAATGATTTTGAACCTCTTTCAATGTCACAGGGTTCAAATGTGTTAAAACCCTTAGAAATTCTTCTGAATAACCAATTGGTCTGGGGCAATGATATTTGGCCAGTAGCATTTTAGGTTGCAGTATTTCTTGTAATGAAATTCCATGATTGTTAAAATATCTATGTAAACCATACAGGCCATGGCCCTGGGCCTCTTGTTTGCTGTTTGGTGTGCTGTAATATTATGGTAGCAGTGAAATAAAAAATCATATTAAAAAATATCAACCAGTCATTAATGAATAACGCAAAATATGTTTCCTTCAATTCCTTCAAGATTCTTAAAAAAATATAGTATTAAATCTATTATCTTGAATAATGTTTATGTTTCAGATGTCATCAAGCCAGGTAAAAGATGAGATGAAGATCGTAGGGAAATACAAAGAGGTCATAAAAAAATGAAAAAGTCTAGCCTTCATTCATCCAAAACTAATTTATCTTCATTTGTAAAGCATTTCCTAATCCAAACATGTACATATATGTAATAAACTTCGCTGTGACTGGTGTGTGGTTCAATGGTACACCATTAGATGTGGTGGAAAGTTGCTAGCGGTTTTAGAGGAGGAAAAATGTAAATGAGATACAGAAAACTTCAGTAAAGGAATTCAAACAAAATGTTTAAATTTGGATATCGCTTGAATTATGCTTTGATAAAACAAAGAGGAAATACCACATGATGATTTTACTATTGACATGACTAATAAATGATAAATGTATCGATCCAAAAGACCTGAAAATGGTTGGTGTCAATAAATACAGTTATTGTGTGTCAATAACAACAAGGAATTAAGCCGTCTCGGCAAATTTATTTTTGAAGCAAATAAGATAAGAGCTGTATTTCTTTAACTCGTAATCCACTTTTGTCTTGCTGTTTCACATCCTTATTATGTATTGTATGTATTTGTGATTTCTTGCTTCGGGGGAATAAAATATGCACATGAGAGGACTGTGATGTATGTGGAAAGAATTATGTATAATAGTTAAATTATTTATGAGCGGGAACTTTAATGGGGGTATCTGACAATAGCATAGAGGGAAGGGAATACAACAGATATAATAAAGAAATAGTGATTCAGTATTTGGAGTGTTATCCTCGATACCCAGGAGTTGAACGCTCACTTTCGCTCTCTGCAACCCTGGAATATGTCATAGCAAAATATAAGGCTCAGTGTGAATCGCCTTGTGAAGGAGACGCCTTTGATGTACATCAAAAGAATCTCGCGGTCGCGTAACGGTGAAACTTATTGGCTTTGAAGTCGGGTGTCGAGGTCATCTGTGATCTTCAAAGAACAAGTATCAGCTTAGTGATGTACACATATAGCTATATGAAGAACATCAATATATGTTTTATCTTGTGTGTTACGAGTTAACATTGAAAGGCATGTTTCTGTCTGCCAAATACAGATGCACACGTACGTACACCGTTCAATCAATTTCCTGCCGAATTATGACGACTCAAAAGGTCAATGACGTCAAAATAAGTGTCAATGACAATGACAATTGTTTTATTCTCATAAACAATAGTGTAGAGAATACACATATACACATGGGTGACAATAGTACATGGTGGAACAGGATGGACATTAGTATTGTAAATTAATTATGTCATTAATATCGTCAACGACATGATGATAGTGCTACAACCATTGTTCAATCAATACCGACAGTAAGTCACGGGTGTTGAAAAAGATGAAACAGTGGATGAAATTATGTGTAAAACCGGTGATAGTTTCTATAGCCTTACGTGGCTATATACTATGTCTGTACGATATGAGTCACCTGTGTGTAAGGAGAAAAAGGTATGTCGTCTGCTACATAAGATCAAAGCCGAAGATGTAGACAATCAGTTATAATGCAGGTTAGGTTTAGTAAAACGTTAAATTTATATTTTATTTAAAATTAAATAAATATTGAAAACATGAGATACATGCAAGTGTATCGACGTCTGCTCTCGCGCGAATATTCACATATTTTCACTTTTACCGGCGCAAAGTACATTGCAATTTTACACAGGCATCGTCGGAATTACACGGGCAGTGTGTTTATTGCTTAAATCAAATAGGACCCCTACAGGTTTGGAGATAAAAATACTTCATTTCACAACACAGTAAAGTGTGCATGTTTGTGTGATATTCCATTAAAGCTAAGTTGAAGGCTTAGTGTGTGCCACATTGTGAATGAAACAAGAAGACTAGTTTGACCCTTTGATGTACATCAAAAGAATCTCGTGGTCGCCTGAACGATAAAAATGACTGGCTTTCTTTAAAGAACACGTATCAGCCTATCGATTGGTCAGGTTTGTGTTATTACTTGAAACTGAAACCAATAAAACAGCTATCTTGTGGTGGCATTTTTACCGAAAGTCGATATAAACCACTTACACGTGTTAATACTATGAGCACCTTAGTTAATGTCCAAATATAGCTGTAACCAATTAGTCCAAATATAGCTGTAACCAATTAGTCCAAATATAGCTGTTACCAATTAGCAGGTCCCTGTGATAGCCACCCTTCTATAGGAGCTGAAGTTATGTCTAATCATATGGTTCTGTTCTGGTATTCTTTAACATTCCCCATATTAACTGGAAAACAATTAGTTAGAGATGGTTTGTTGATCCGCGATACATTAGCAATAAATGTCTAGATTCCTCACAAGATCACCAGACCTAAACCTATACAGCTGTTAAAATGTGCCAATAATCTGAACTGTACTACATTGTAGTAGCCTACCCGACAAACAGGCTTGATACAAGATGGACCGGCGTTAATTCATATCTCGATAAATGTATTCAAAAAGTATAAACATATATATATTTCATTATTTGATTGCTTAAGTAACTGAAAAATCAATTTAAAGCAGGAGTCCCGTATCAGTTTACACCTATGAGAAAAGCAAACTCCATCATCCTACGTGTTTAGGTAGACGTAGCAATTCGATACTTGAAGGCACGCGGCTAGCTATGTGAGTGGTCTCAGGTAAATATACATGTCCTTTGAAGATAACAGAGGAGCGCCACACGACTTCAAAGCCAGTCAATTTTACAGTTTTACGCGACCGAGAGATTCTTCTGATGTACATCAAAGGATTAAACTCGTCTTCTGGTCTCACCACAAGGTGGCGCACACTGAACCTTTATATAATGTAAGTTTGCTTTAAAATTCCACGCGTGTGAAACCCCAGGGGTATCGAGGATGATTAGGCAAAACAAAAACAATTTGGTGTTTCCTGTAACCCTAATTTGTGTGCATGTATGGAAATTTTCAAAGAAGCAGGACCACTCTCCTATATTAGCCATATAATGCTATTTGTTAAAATAAAATGTGTTACAAGTCTACCTTTTTCCAATATGTTACAGGAAACATATTTTAAACATCAATTAAAGAGCAGGTATGCAGAACTCTTTTGAGGTCAACACTAGAACATGTCCAGGGGCGTAACAACCTATGTAGCAAAAAATCCCGCGCTTACACATCATTTTTATCAAATAGACTATATGGTATAAAATACTAAAATGCAAAATATTTGTAAAATAATAGGGGAAAAATATATTTTCTTGCGTTAAAAGGGTCATTGAAACTGACGCCAAAACACGGGAGAACGCGTCTCAGGCGTTCTAGAAAACAAAATTCTCGTGCATTATTCTCGGGAAGACCCCCTCCCATACCCTCCCCCTCCTCGCGCTGCGCGCTTCGGGATGCTGCCTTCGGCAGCACATTTGACCATGGGGCTTACACATTGAAAACCCGTCTGTTACGCCCCTGATGTCTGTCCAGTATGGAACTCTATCAATTCGAATATCCCTCAGCTAGGATTTTTGATAGAACAAAGCTCCAAATTGGTTAATAGTTTCAATACAGATACGGTATTTTAATCAATATATTATCAACAGGGACGTACTGTCCCTGATTATCAATCAGTTTTTTCTCAGTACTGAAAATACATTTGTAATACTGAGAAAGCTAACGCAATAATCCCGATGCTGCGTCTTGACAAACCAGTAATGTACTGTATTTTGTTTAGCTATATTTTCAATTTCCTGTATTCAATGTTACATATATAGTAAGATTATTATACTTCGAAGTTTGGAAAATATGCTATTTTAATAATTTTCTTGAGCCAAATCAAGGTGAAAAAAAGTTTTTTTCAAGGTTGATTTTGGCAGCCTTTTTTTATAATATATTCATCATTGTGAAAAAAATATCTGTTTCAATAATTTTGGCGTTTTGGCAGGTTTTGTTGTAGATTAACTGCACTATTATTGATTCAGCCTCTTGCTCAGGCCGTATCATTCGATCAACTTATCACCAGAAATACAGACTCCTTCCGCTACTCAAACACTTATTTATAAACAAAATATCTATACATAAACTAAAACGTCAACATGAGATTGAAACATAACCGTACAAATCGACATAATCACATCCTCGATCTCCAGGGGTTACGCTCACTTTCGCTCTCTACAACCCTTGAATATGTCATAGCAAAATCGAAGGCTCAGTGTGCACCACATTGTTGATGAGATAAGAAGACTAGTTCGATCCTTTGATGTACATCAAAAGAATCCCGCAGTCACGAAACGGTGCAAATTGACAGGTTTGGAGTCGGGCGTCACTCCTTTGTAATCTTCAAAGGACATGTATCAGCCTAGCGATTGGTCAGTTTTTTTCACTTGAGACCAATCAAACAGCTGTCTTCGTGCTTTCAATTTTGCTATGACATATTCAAGGGGTGTAAAGAGCGAAAGTGAGCGTAACCCCTGGATATCGAGGATGACATAATCATAACCTGACCAACAGCGGAAATGGATATCCGGAATTTCCGGCTACAGACAGGTGATTATATCACCAACTAGCACTTCCGGTGTCGTTGGAAGAAGACTGGATATCGTGTGACTGAAGCTATTGGTAAGCATAACTATGAAATTGCTTATCGATATTACAATATCGTCGTGTAGCAGAGAACATTAATATGACTCTGGCATGGCCTGGAGAGAGCGAAGCACGAACAGGCTGTACATTTGTTTCAATAGTATAGTATAATTTTTGAATCATAACATTACAGTACTGTACCCATTTTAATATTTTTTTATAATATACTTGAATCTGTTGCTGGGCAAAATAATTCATCCTTGTACTTATGTGTGCTCTAGATCTGTTTTAGAATCATCCACATTCACACTACACTAATATGACGCATCACATGTTAGTTTGAAGTTGACTGGTTTGTACTACAGTATACCAGGTATACTACTGTACTACTAGACATAATTCCTGTAGGAACTCTTATCTAAATCAGAGATTTATAACGATAGAAACTCTATCGTAATAAAACTCTAAATCGGAGATTTATAACGATAGAAACTCTTTCGTTATCAATCTCTGATTTAGAAAGAGTTCCTACAGGAATTATACAAGACCATATTGATAGTATTAGTATATCCTCATTGCTGATTTGGTTCTTGTTTTATCCAGGAATAAAAGTATATACCCCCTCCCTCTACTCATCTCCGTTCATGATATTATATATCATTATTTTGATCCAAAAGAAACAAATGCTATTTAAAAACAAGAGGCCCAGAGGGCCTGTATCGCTCACCTGGATACCTAAGCAATCATGGCAAACTATTCTCCAAATGAGATCAAGGGAATATGCCAGACCCCAAGGCCAATCCTTGTAGCATAGCTATATTAGATTTTCCATGCCCAGCAATTTTATGTATGGTTATGGGGTGGGGATCTCAACTGTTTCCAGGCTTTGACTCAGAAACTAGGTCCCTAGAGTTGTGGCCAGACCCCAGGAT